ACATTCCTTGGGAGGGAGGAGACAGCATACCTTTGGCCACACACTACAGAACAAGGCAGAGGAAAAGATTGCTTAGTAGAGGGGAGTCTGGGTGGAGCATGTGCTATTACATGGGTACCCACAGCCTTTGGTTTCCCTTCCATATATTGTCTTGGTCTCCAGCAATTTGTCTTAAAGTGGTCATTAGTGTGGTCTCTCCCCTCATGGGATGTAGTTTTGGAACTCACTGAGAAAGTTCTCATCTCCCAGATACAGTCTGCAGATCTTAAAAGGTCTAGTACAAGGCCATCCCCTCCAGCCTTGCATGTTATGGGGGAGCCCCAGGTGGAGGGGCCAGTGGAGATGAGAGCATAGTGTCTGGGGCTCCTGCTCTGTGTGGCTGGAAAAGCTTAGGAGTTCTAAGAACACTGCCTGCTGAGCATCCTGCACAGCAGGATGTGATGTACTGATCAGAACTGCACATGTGGAGATGGGGGATTCCCAAGAAAAGCTGCCCACCTCAGTCTCACCACATGTATCTCTGGCTACCCAGCTCCCCTCAGGAGGTCTGTGACTGGGCCAGCTTTGCAATCACCCTCCTGTTTCTTAAAGGAGCCTATGGGATCACCCCGCAAACCTACCTCAGTCCCCTATTCTTCCATGCCTCCCAATCTCCCACTTCCTGACCTAAACCAAAGCATCCTATTCCTGGCCATTACGGAGGACCTCTGAGTTGTGACTATCTTTCTGGTGCACCCTAGGTTTCACACAGTCTATGATGGGCACAGTTGGGCCTGGACACACAATATCAGACATGAGTGTCTGGCACTTGGCAGGCCTTCCTGGGAGCATAACTAGCACCCAGAAGGGTGAAGAGGCAGAGGGGAGACCCAAGTCCCAGAGGCTGCATCTATTCTCAGATTCTCAGATGCTATCACTCCTAGAGTGAGGCTTCTGATATGAATGGGTTCTGCGTAACTGTGGCTTTCTATGGCTGGACTGCTGAGTGAGGGCTACTTTCTCAAAGAAACAGTTTTTTTGTTTTGTTTGTTTTGTTTTGTCTTTTTGAGACAGGGTCTCCTTGTAGCCCTAGGTGGCCCTGGACTTGCTATGTAAACCAGGCTGGCCTCTAACTCACAGAGATCCGCCTGCCTCTGCCTCCTAGTGCTGGGACTAAAGGCATGTGCCACCATGCCCGACTTAGAAGGAAACAGTTCTTTTAGCACTTTTTTTTTTAATATCAAGAGTTTCAAGAGCCAGAGGCACATGGTGGGGTACTGTGTGGCCTGGCATGGCCCTCAGTGCCTGGCTATGCTGTTCAACATTACTGCAGTGGAAGACAAGCTACCACCTCCTCTTGACTTTCAGGATTGCCTTTCAGCTGCCAAAGACACTGCAGTAATGAGCACTGAGGTCCACTGCACTACAGCCTTTCTTCTCCGACTGCTGGCCCACCTTCCTGCCATTGCTGGGCACCGCCCCACTGTGAACCAGGTCTGTGCTCCCCACAGGTCCTGCATCATCCTCCCTATTTCCCTCCACCCTAAACCCTGGGCCTAAGTCCAATCCTGACTCGGAGCACACTCTGACCACAGGTTCTGAGTATCCCTGGGGGCTTCTGAGAGCTCCCTGGGGAAAGCTCTGGCCACATGGTTCAGTGGGCATGGGAGCCAAGCAGGCGTGAAATGCAGTGTGGGATTTACTGTAAGCAACTGCAGATTTAAGAAAGAAAATGAATGGCTTGAAATCAAGTGTCGGGGAAGGGGGCGGTGTGTCACAAGCTCTGCACTCACCCAGGGAAGCCAAGATGGAAGGCCTGCTTCTACCTGCTCCTTCAAGCAACTGGACTTGCATGGTGGGCTCCCAGCTGCCCGTGGTGACCATCTTGGTTCTGCTCTGGTTTAGAAATGACTTATGAGTGATGTGAGGGTAGCTTCTGGGCTGAGGAAAGAGCCCTGCCAACAAGGAAAGAGCATGTGCCCCTTCTGCCACACATGCACCATCATACACATTATGATATCCTTTGCATAGTCTCACACAGAACAGCAACACTTCACTACCCACTCAGCACAGAGTCAGGTCAAGCTCTCTCATACACATGCAATGTACACACACACACACACACACACACACACACACACACACACAGTGCAATGAACTGGCATGGTGGGGTTAGACTTCCTAGCCCCCTAGCTGAGTAGCACTTGATATTAGGAACTCCAGTGCCTCTCTGGGCTCCCAGGACCTGTTTCCAACTACTGCCCAAAGTAGTAACAGACCAGCTGGAAACAGCATCAAAGAATTCTCTGAAGCCAACTCAGAACCCAGAACAGGAAGGCCCTCAGCCATCATCTGCTCCCAAGGATCTTAAGCACAGCTGGGGCTTCTCCAAAAAGGGTGCTCAGGCCATGTCAAGAGACTGAGGAGAGGCAATCAGAGCCTCCTCACCCCTGCACTCATCCAATGGCCTCTGCTTTATACTGTGAGCTTTGAAATAGATTTTTGGAAGAATAAATTAGATTTAGTTTCACTTTTAAAAGCACTAGCCCAGATCTGGTCTGCTGGTGATAAAGCACTGAAGACACATGGACTAGCCAGGGTTGTGGGCAGCGGAGTGGGCAGTGGGCTCAATTGTCCTTGCACTACATTGTCAAGGGTCTGCGCCCATGGGACTCATCACTCTCTGGGCTTGCCTAACAGGTCACCTGGTGCCTGAATTAATGAGTAACACCTGAACCTGTGTGTCCAAATGTCCAGAAGAAAGGCCTCTGAAGGTTGCTGGCCCCCAATGTGGAAGGTGGAAGGTGGGTTTTTCTAGTCCTGGTACCACTACACAGTGGAGCACAGCTGTCAGCCAAGCCTCCCTCCAGAGCCATGGTGGGATGCTGGGAGCCAAGGCTGTGCAGTCATTTCAGCATCACTCTTAGAATCTGGGCCTATCTTTCTTCCTCAAGAGGGCCCTGGATCACAGATGGGGTGGGTAGGTTAGCTCTGTTGGGCTCCTCCCACCTAGGGCCACATCCTGGGACCATGTGTAGAGGTGGCCCAGGCTGTAAAGAGCTGCCTGCCCAGTTCCCACTGGAGCCCTCAGTCTGCATGTCTCATTATCCTTAGAAACCTCGGTGACAGTTGGTGTCACCTCGAGTTGACCTTACACTGCACACATCAGGCCAAGGCTTGGTCTCCCTCCTGGCCTATCTTAGGGTCCATGGCACTAAGCTTGTTGTGTATGAAGCACATGCCAACGGTGAGCATCGAAAATGTCAGGATGTCCTGAGGCTATGCCTACTGAGGAGGCCTCAGAATTTCCACCCAGGCACCAAGACAAGCCAGAAGGCAGGAATGGACATGGACTGCTGGAGGCTAGCACCTAGCACTTGTGGGTGCTTCCAGAGGGCTGCATATACATACACACACATGTGACCAAGGGTGTGACTTCAGGATCATTAACAGAAGGCTGTGAGGGTCACTGAAGTGGGGCAGCCATCTCTACCCTGATGGATGACCACAGGTGAAACAGCCTGGGTGGGGACTGACCTGGCATGCCTGGCTGGACTAGATAGGATTGGAAGAGATGGCTCTGGTCCTCCAGTTCTGCCTAATGGGGAGATCACCTTGATGTGGGGCCCCTGAGGCCCCTCTGGAGGGAGGGATACATGAAGGGCCTGCATGTAGCCAGGAAACCCATCATTTCAGGCTGTTCCAATAAGTATAGTGGTCATCATACCCTTAGGCATAAAACCCTGGACCCAAGGCCAGAGGTTCCTGCATGGATGGGGGAAGCTACAGTAAAATCTATGAAGCCTGGTCCCCAAGAGCACAGCTCCCTTCATGAGGCTGGAAGTCCACCCCCCACACCCAACCCTTTCACCACCCAGGCATTAGCAAGCCAGGCCTGAGAGAAGGCAGAGAGGCTTATGGTCTCCGTGCACGTGAGCCCATACCAGGAATGAATCATATCATTATGGCAGGATTAGAAGAAAAATGCCATTAGAAAGTGCTGTGCACACATGGATTTAATAAAGTCAGTGGCAGCAAGGAGCAGGCAGGTCAATGCACCAGGCCACAGAGCCCCCATCCTCCCTCCCCCGCTCCCGGCCACCTACAGTAGAAGGCCAAGAAAACAGTGCCAGACTGCCAGGCCCAGGCAACATCCAACAGGGGACAAATGTCTCCTTCCGCCAGGGCCTTCCTGCCTGCCACCTCAGAGGGATCCAGGCTCAACCCTCTTCCCAAACCTGCTAAGAGCTCTTTCCCAAATCCTCCCTACCAGGCACCCCTAACCATACTCCCTCCCTCAGGGCTCCACCCCAGACTGGATTCTGCTTGGAAGGAGTGGAGAGTCAATTGACTACGCGTCACAGGAAATTTATGTGCTATTTAATCTGCTGGGCTCCATAGTGGCAATGCCCAGGTGACAGATACAGTAGGCCTAGAAAGTTCCTGAGGAAAAAGCTGTATGGAGGAACTGGTTTTAGCCACCTAGGGGCTGGGTTAGATCAGACGAAGGAATCAAGAGGGGAGCAGGTGGAACGAGCAGCCTCCCCCATCCACCCAGGCCTCCTGCCTGAAACATCTTCCCCTTCTCCTTCTCCTTCTACTGTTCTTCCTCAGCTGGCCCTGGTTGCTGACAATGAAATTACAGGACTGCACTGGCCACCAGCAAGATGTGATACCTGTTATAAACTACTGGAAGTCCTGGGCCACCGACTGTATCTGTCTCAACTGTCCACCCCTTGCACATGTAGGAGTCCCTTTGAGTGTTCAAGCCCACATATTCTATAGTGGCATGCAAGCTCTTCGAGAGAAGAAAGGGTCTCCCCTGCTGTCCCAGGCAGGTGTAGGGAAGCTACAGAGAAGGCTACCCCAGGTAGGTGTACATGCACACCGAGGTGTTCTCTCCCACTACCCACCTCTCCCTCTTTGCTGCTTCATCCAGCATAGTCCTGAGCTTCGAGCAGGGCATAGGTTTTGGGCAGGGCATGAGATAGTCCTGCCTCAGGATGAGAGGAAATACTCACAGCTCCGGGGACCGGGACAGGATGGCAGACAGGGTGAGCAGGATGCATCCATAGGGGCCCACTTCGAACTGAGGGAAGAGAAAGGAGTGAGGGCCTATGTAACATACACCTCCACCCTCAGACAACCTGTGTTGTAGCCACACCCAGGCCACAGACTACCATGGTCATGGCTTCCAGCCCAATCCTAGAAGTTGGTGGGTAGCCACAGGACAATACCCCATGCATGTCTTACTAGCCAGATTTACAGGACAGGGAGCACAGGGCTGAGCAACAACAGGAGAAAACTCAGGTGATACAGAGGCCATCGTGGAGCGCATACATGACCTCAGAGGTGTCAAAGCCCAGAAGCCAGCAGCAGTGTCACCTCTGACCCCTGACAGAAAGGAGCTGAGCTCTGCCAACAGACTGAGGCAGCCTTCCCAGCTCTTGGGAAGCACAGTGGAGGCCCAAGCAGGCTCCACTTGACAGGGCTCCTAAACTGAAGAATTGCGCTTAGAGCAGTAGACAAGTGGACAGTAGACAGCAGATGTGGAACAAAGACAGGGTCCAGGGAGGCTGAGGAGTGTCTGCCTTTGCGGCAAATTTAGTATTTTAAAAATATTCTTAACTATCCGATTTTGATACTCTGTCCCTCGTGGGTGTCACTCTGATTTTAAGGTGCTGCGTACTTATCTCTGGTGTACTGGACACTTTGCTCTTCTTCCCCACCCTCCCTTGGATGCCTCAGTCCAACCCTGGCTCTGCTTCTCCTAGCTATGTGACAGGAGAGATGTTTCTGAACTCTGTTGCTCCATTCTTCTCCACTGTGAAATACAGGTAGTAGTCAGAGTCTCGGCTTACAGTGAGTTGTTGGTAAGAGTGAATTAACCCTTGAAAAGCACTTAACAGGGCCTGCCTGGCAACTGGGGTGGCTGTTGATACACTGCTAGCTTCAAGTTGTCCACCTAACTCCATGAGCTGTGGACCACAGCCGACTGCAATGGTGAATCTGACGGCTTTGCTCATCCTACTTTGAGGATGATGAACTGTGACTAAAGATGCTGTTACAACAGTCAGTACTACTTATGTATGAATGATGTTACAACAGTCAGTACTACTTATGTATGAATGATGTAATGGACTAAAAACCGAAGGGAAAGATGCCTTACTTCTCCTAGAATAGTCAGTGAGAATGATGTAATTTAGCATATTTTCATTTTTGCCCTGGTTTCCAGGAAACTTAGACTCAAATATGATTTTATAGTTTACAAACTATTGCAGTTCAAGGTTTTAATAAAAATATCTTTTCCTCAAAGCAGCATTTGTTTTCATTTTGTAATTCAAATAGTCAGTTAATCGATCATTTAAAAAGAAAGACAACTACTGAGTAAAATTTCTGTCCTTGCTAAGTGCAGTAGCACACATGTATGATCTCAGGACTCATAGACTGAGGTGGGCAGACTGCAAGTTCAGGGCCAGGGTGGGCTAATAATGAGCTTGAGGCCAACCTGGGCTACAGAGGGAGACCCTGTTTCAAAATAAAAACAAATTCAAGAGAATGGTGTGGGTCAGGAAAGAACAAGAAATAATGTGGGAAGGGAGAAACAGGCTCATCCAGAAGAGAAGTGCAGGCTCCTCTGAAAACACACAGGAAGGCAGAGCCTGGGGAAGGAGGGAAGCTCAAGGGAGCTTCCTGGAAGAATGGCGTCTAAACAGAACCCAAGCCACAGCGGGAATCAGAAGAGATGTGACCTCTGCCTCAGGCAAGGGAACAAGGATGAAGACAGAGGCAGGCCAGAACTGAGCAGAGGGGCCTTGAGCATCGCTTGTTATATAAACAACCTCAACCCTTATTTTGGAAGCAGAAACGAAATTAATAAACCCAAATCAACTTCATCTTAATTCTGTGATCTCAAGCCAGTCACTTTGGTTCTGCTGCCCGAGACTTTGTGCTTAAAAAATGAGGCTAATTTTCATTCCTGCCCCGCATGTCCTTGGATTATGGCACACAACCTGAGACAGTGTCTGTGGAAGTGAAAGCTGCAAAGTAATGCTGGTGTTCCTGTCTGAGTGACACAGGCCTGGGAGGACTTGGACCCCTCTATCCTGTGAATGGCTTTATACAGTCTTGTGTCTGCTTTGGGAAAGTCACCAAGCATTCTGCCTCTGTTTCCCCCTCTGGAATGCCTACCTCCTCTGCCATGGACTCTGTCTGGGAAAGCCACAGTTTAAGGGTCTGTCACACTGTCCATGTCTGTGGTGCCCTGCAGGAGTATTGGTACAGCAGTTGACGTGGGAGCTCCTGAGGCTGAACTTGGCATGCAGAGTGGGGAGACGGTACTGTGCAGTGTGGCATGTTCCCAGGCCTCAGGACCCTTCACAGAGTGCTTCCCCTGAGCCCCAGAGGGTAGAGAACCCAACTCAGCTTGGCCTTGGCCTTTCAGAACACAGCTGAATGATACCAATATTCCTTCTTGCTTCTAAAAAATATTATCTCATCAAATTCAAGCTGCCAAGACATTGAAGGCCTCGGGGCAATGTGATGGCTTGAAAGGCGAGCTGGGCCGGAAACCTTGGTCAGGGACGGAACAACGCCTGGTGCTACTTCAGAAGAAAAGACCATTCTCCCAGTATGGCTCTGGCCCTGGAGAGACATAAGCCCACCAAAGGGCTCCAATGAGCAGCTGGGTGGCAGCCTCCCATGCTGGCCTGAGGCCACCAAACGTCTCTAGAGTGGTAAGCAGCAACGAAAACCCAGCACGGAGGCTATTTATTTTGGGCAGTGACAGCCCAGTGTGCATTTCCAGGCCTGGCACAAGGAGCCCCTCTTAAGCACAGCCCATGAAAAATGGATTTGGTGAGCCCAGTGCTGAGGCAGCTCAACTGCTTCCAGCAAAAATATAAATTAAGCTGTGGAGGGAAACACTGTTTCCAAAAGGATGAGGGCCAGGTATTGACTAGACAGGCTACCCTGAGGAATCTCAGCCACTAAGCAGGGCCCTTACCTGGCAGCAGGCTCCTGTCTCTGAACCCCTTCATGGTCAGTTATGTTTAGGCTTCATGGAAGCTTTGGGGCACGGGCTGAAGCATGAGGCCTCTTTTGCAGGCAAGGACACAGGCACCGATACTGAGGGCCACCACCACAGGGACAGTGACCTGGTCCCAGAGCCTGTTGGCAATGGCACTGAGGCCCCTCTTTGGCTCCCAGTCACTTCCCTTGCTTCATCAGAGTGGCTCCTGCTCTACCCACCTAAAGGAGCAACTCTCTGCCCTGGCCACCCATGGGAGTCACACATGCTAAAGCCATGGGCTCTTTGTCTCTGCAGTATACCGCCATGCCCTCAGGACACCTCAGTTTGATAGGCAGTCCTGGCTCTGCCCACCCAGAGCACTTGCACTTTCTATAGAAAGCACTTCTCCATACATGCAAGGGTCTTCCTTGAGCTGAAAAGCTATCCAACTGCTCCAGCTTCCATTTCCAGATGAGGAAACAGGGCTTTCTCAAGGCCAAGGCCACATATGACTGACAGTAAGCCCAAGAGGTCCCTAGGCCCCTGTTCCAAGACCCCTCACTGCTCAAAACAAGGGTGGGGAACTGTCTATCATTGGCAGATACACTGAGGGTTATTCTAAGGAAAAGAAAGAGAGAGTCAGGGACAGAGGCAAGGAACAGGCAGCCCAAGGCTCCTGACTCCTAGCTTAGGATTCTCCACATGTCAGCCCCTCTGCCCAGACCCCACATGAAACCACCATATTCAAGTGACTGTCAGGCCCCTGCTCTTCTGGTCTGCACCAGTATGGGAAGTTATAGCTCTGAGGCTAAAGAACTTCATCTCTGCCAGCATCCCACAACCCCACACCTATCTCCAGTTGTTCTTGGCACAGGGTTCTGTTTCCTCCCCAGGACAGTGGCAAAGTCTTGTTCCAAGCAAGGTCCCCTCTAGCTGGTCCTGGAACCCTCTCTGCTAATTCAGAGTCCAGCCTTCTGAGCGGCTGCTGCTTCACCAAAGGGAAAGCCGCATAACTCCAACTTGCTTCCCTTCCTCCAACTCCACATACGGTCCTAGTAGCTGTGGCCCCAGCTGCTACAGCACCCTGGGCCTTGTGACTACCACTAGCCTGCATGGATGCCATGGAAACTGGGTCTCCTATCCATACCCACACTTCTCTGGCCCACATCAGCACATCCCTGTCAAACTTCTTCACCATCCCCAGGGTGGAGGTGGCAGGAGGACGACTCCCCCGACCAGCCTCCTCCACAAAGACATTAGAAGGCTTAGCAATGTTCACATCACCAAATAAATGGCTGTTCACACCTGGCGAATGCTGTGCTGGAGAAAAGTGACCAGATCCTCATAACAGGAGAAACTGTACAGTGTGAGCTGAAAAGAAACACATGCAGGATGAGTCACGTGTCCCCAGGGCCTGTGCCCCATCCCGGGTCAGGCCATGCAGTCCTGGCTTCACTAAAAACGCAGAGATCTGTCACCAATTTCAGGTTGCCCGGCACTGCTGGGCCAGCTCTGAGTCAGCTACCCATAGAGTCCCCAAGGCTCCCCTGGCATGATAGACAGAGATCCAGCACCTTGCCTCTGGGGGATGAGATAAGGAAGATGAGGGGCAGAGGGGAGAGTCCTGTCCCCATGTCACCATGGCCAGGCTAGGTCAAAACCACTAGGCCCTCCAAGTTCATGGGAAAATTTCCTCAAGAAGGTCATGAAAACACATTTTTAAAACATTTGAACAAGGTAAGGCCTTGAATGAGGGTTCCAAGGTCACACATGCCCATAGCTAGGTCATATGAAATAAATTGGTTAAAACAAAAATTGGAAGTGAAGGGGTGGCAAGTTTTGAAAAACTTCTTGGTGTATGGATTTTTAACAATACAAAACTAGGTTCCTCCCTTGAACTTAGGTCTGGCCTTATGTCACTGCTCCATGTTATCAAAGGCCTTCCCCATTTTCTACATTCTTCTTGGGGTACCTCAATGCCTCCCCCACCCATGTGAATCCTAAAGAAGATGCTAAAGACACAGGAGGGATGGGAAGGCCAGTTCAGCAGCCTGCTCTGTACACATGCTGCTGAGGGTATCTCTACACAGTGCGTGCGTAGGCAACAGGGTGCCACTGAACCCATCAGCCATGGAGCAGCTCTGACAAGAGCCCACCCTCAAAGCCACCTGCCTCTGCCACATCCCCCAACCCAGGGCAGATTCTGCAAGGATGGCCAGCCAGTCCCAGCTGGGGGAGGATTTACTTATATGAAAGGAGACAGTCCCCAAACAAAGGCAAAGTGGCACGAGAGTTTTCCAGAAAACCGTACTGTTTCTAAGACTCCATCTGCTTTGTATTTCCCTGTTGGACTGAAGTGTGGTGTTCCTGAAGCCCTAAAAAGGAAAAGAAGGTGCATGAGTCCTCCACTAGCCAAGAAGACACGCCCTCCATCCAGCTAGACCACGTCAGCCAGCAGAACCACATGTGCCATGAAGTAAATGAGGACAGGAATGACGGTTCCAGACAAAATGTAGCCAAGGGCTTCTCGTTTTCCCTCTGTGAACTCACCCATGAGTCCAGGGCATGGAAAAAGAGAGAGTGGTGGGTGAGCTTGAACAACCACACCCATGTCTGGCAGTAGATCTGATTCTCCCCCATGGCAGGCAAATACATCTGCAGAGAAAGGACTGCTGACTTACCGCAGTCTTCACCCAGGCTGTATTTCTAGTCATCCTCTCAGAAGCCCCCCATCCCTGAAACTCCATCATAAGCACAATGGGTATGTGACCCAGTGCAGCCCTAAGGGTAGGATTTCAGTTCAGGGCCTATATGTCACCAGCTGCTGTGTGGCCCTGGCCCCTCCACCTTCCTTCTCTGAGTTTCAGTTTCTTAATCTCTAAAACAAGGAGAAATCCAGTCCCTGTCCTCTCTGCCCTGAGGGTTATAAAAGAGATGCCAGGGGCCAGGGCTAATAGGTGGCCTGGAGTACAAAACTAAAGGCAGATAGCAGTAACAATCTGAGCAGCAGTCACAGTTATGTAGATAATCCTAAGTACCCAGTACATGCAGACACTCCTAAGCACTTCACGTTTATTATTTATTACCTATTTTTATTAATAAATGATTCACACTGATAATATTACATATCATTTATTTATACTGTCTCATTTAGTTTCTCACAATCACTCTATTAAGTAATCATTATTATCAACTCTTTTTTCTAAACAAGTCAGCAAATGAGGTGTAGACAGGTGACATCAATTCCCAAGGTCAACAGCAACAAGCAACAGCTTTTAGAATCTGTCTCAGAGAGATCTCTGTTGTAAGCACTATGGTACAGTGATCAATCTACCCTTGGAGTATGGTTGTTGGCCCCCAAACTGCATCCTTTATTAAAGCTTAGTCACATGGCTGGGGCAGAGTGATGCTTCTATGCTAAGGGTCAGGCTGAAGAGCCAGAAGACTCTCCATGGGGACTGTGGGAACAGGATGGAGTGTCAGGAAGGAATGATGGTAGGTCAGGACCTGGGCTGCACCCCTTGCTGCTCACCTGGAGTAGGGTCCAAGTAACACAAGTGGAAGTATAACTGGGGACTCAGACAGTGGCACAGTTTGCTGTTGTCATAGCTGAGTCAACCCGTGGCCCCAGAATCAGGGAAACACCAAGGGAACCAGCTGCCTGGGTCGTAGGCTTTCTCCTTTGGATCCTGAGTTCTGAGTGGTAGGCAGGCAGGAACATACCTCCCACATGAGCCTGGAGCTTGGGCATCAACAAGGCCCAGCTGCCCAGCAAAGACCGTCTACCCATGAACAGCACAGCCCCAGCCAGCTTGCTGGGGCTGTTGGGCCAGCACAGGTTGAGGCAAAGTGACACAATCCTCAGAACCACTTACAGTGTGACCACGGCTTGCTTTCGGCCGCCAGCTCGCCACAAGATGTCTGTGATGGCTAGGGCAAGACAATGGGTCCTCTGGGTGTCTGAGGGATACAGCCGTCTAAGGAGAAAAGAAACATGTTTAGGCTCATGAGGACAGAGCAGAATAGATCTAGTCTATGGGGCATGTTTTGGTGGCACCTCTGAACATGGCCCCTCTTTTTCTGCAGGCTAAGGGACCTCATAACATAGGCTAATAAGGCAGACTCTGCAGACGAGGTCCACAGGAGGAGCATTCAAGGAGGGCCCTGGGTGGGAAGCAGAGAGGCCCATTGGACTGAAGAGGACCTTACAGTCTTGGTGAGGCCTAGGCTATAAAATGGCCTCTTGTTTTGACAGGGCCAAGAGTATTCTGGAACAACTGCCAGGGCAGATGTGAGGTACTATCCTGTTCTGGCCTTGGCCAGTCCCAACATCTCAGGGTAATGAGACCACAGGTGCTGGGTGGCCAGGACTCTAGCTCGCTGGCTATGCAGATGCAGGGCACAGGGTGAGGAAGACAGACTCAAGGATGGCTACAGGGGTACCACCACGCTGCCAAAAGAAATGGGTGTGAGGCTGAAGGAGGCAGCTGTGATGTGGTGGGAGTGCTGCTCCTCAAACTCGCTGAGCTCCAGGTGCACAAGGACCCCAAGAAAAGCTTCCAGACCCATGGCAAGCACAGGAGGTTGGCACAGATCTCTCAGGATGAGGAGGGCTGGGGTAGCTAAGAGGGACCTTTAGGGCATGGGGATGGGACAGACGATGAAAGGGGAAGAGAGGCAGGACGCAGAGCAGCAGGACAGTGTAGGAGCAGAGAGCTTTAGGAAGTGTGGCCCGTCACCACATCAAAAGTGGCAGAGCTGTCCTGCAATAAAAAATGACTAAGAGGTTCCTGGGGCATGGAGAGAATGAGAGGGAAAAAGGCAATGGCCAAATATAGCCGTTTCTTTCCACTTGACATTTCCAGGACTCCTTTGCACTGTTCTTCTGGCTTTTCCCTGTGCTCCGTGAATCTTCCCTACATTTCTGCAAAAGCTGACTTGAATAGGTCTTTATTCCTAACCAACAAGAGGATTCAATCAAGACCTGCTCTGGGGGGCAGAGGAATGTAGACAGCGGGACTCCATGTTTTTACTCACCAGAAAATGCCCGAGCTCCACACGGAGATGCGGAGATGTGTGAGTGAGAGAATGCTGGAATTTCCCTTCCTGCCAAGGCAGGGGTAGAGAAACCAACCCAGGACACAGCTACCACAGTGGGACACAAAGCTGGGCTGTTGTGTGTGGGGACCTAAAGGCCCCACCTTGCATAGGTCCAAAAGGAAGTTACTGGGGGCACGGCCTGACTTGTTTTAAAAGTCTGACGGATACTTCTGCACTGCTGAGGAGTGCGGGATCAGCGTGTGACCATCCTTAAGATACACCCGGGGGGGGGGGGATTTCCAGGTGCCTTTATAAGCTCTTTAACACCTGTAATAAATGAGTCCCTGCTTGAGAAGACTCCCTGTTGCATCTGAGTGTCCCCGGTACTGGGGGCGGCATGGGCTGGTGGACGGCATGCTTACTCATCCCCAATCATCACTGCCCGGGGGTCGATGGTTCGAACCCCCGGCAGTTGTGTTACCATTATTTTAAAACAAGAGGTGACAGGACACAGTGGAAACTGGCAATGACACTGAGCCTCCCTCACAACATTGGGAGCCTTAAACAAGATAATTGTGGTCCTGGTTCCTGAGGCATGGGGATTTTTCAGTCAGTGGTTCCCATCACTACTGTGCCCACATGGGCCATCCACAGAAAGGCGATTTGCCCAACCCCAGCTAGCATGGAGCTCCTGGCATTGGCAAGGCTGCAGGGGGCAGCAAGATGAGCAGTGAGTGCTCAGCCTGGAAGAAAATAAGCCAGTGACTGTCTGATGCCTCCTCAGGCTCAGGAAGCCATCGCAGGAAATGGGGACCATGCCACTGCCAAACCGGATGGCCCAAGCGGTAGGGAGCACCAGGCTAGGTCAACGCTTGCTAGGAAAACAACGTTGAGTAAACACTGCTCTGGGCTTCAGGAGAGGCCATGCCTAGGGCAAGCAACCTGGATGGTAGAGGTGGGCAGACAGAAGAGAAAGGGCTAGACCTTTATCCCTTTGTATTCAGAGCCTACTAATGTAGGCTTCATGGTCCTCCAAGTACAGCCATGGCCTGTCCACTGCATGTCCTGTATCTCATGCCCGCCCTCCTCTTACCTGTGCTCTGTAGAGTGCTTACAGCCAATTCCCTCCACGACTCTCATTTTCCCTGGCCTACCTCCTCCAGCCCAATGGTGCACACTCACTACTGTATTCAGGGTGGGCCCTTTTCCCACTCCTATCCACATTAAAACCCTGAACCCAGTAGCACCTGTGCAGAAGTCTGCTGGGATAGATGCACGCTGCCTAGGACACCTATGCTGGGAAACCTGCATCTTGGAGCCAAGGGGACTCTGTCTGAGCACTGCAGTCTGCATGGAGTATTGAAGCAGGCAGTCCTTGCAGGGCCTGTCAATGCAGTGACGGTTTAGATGAGTACTTAGCATGTGCCAGGCACTTGTAATAAGGACTCTCATAAGAAGCCAGAACTTGAGTCTCACCAGTGGCTCAGTAATAGCCTTCACTGGTGACCCCTCAGTGATAAAGTCCTGCATTGCCTAGCCATCAGACACATACCTACCATATTCCCACCAGAAATCTGGCCCCCAGCAAGGCTCTTATACCAGAAGTTTCTTCAAGAGTCTAATTCCTCCAGAAGTGCAGGGTGAAGTGCTTAGGGAAGGCTCTGTGGGGAGCCATCTTCCCTGTGTTTGCTCAAGTGTTTCAGAGAAAAGAGATGCTTCTATCCTACTTATCTCACCTGTCCTCTCAAACGTACCCATGTGGACCAAGTCTGTAAAAATTCTAGATAAAGGTGATCAGTGTGTGCAAGCTGTGGTTCCCACATTTCTCCCCTCAAGAGGAGCTAGTGGGAGGGTGGAGGGTTGGCTGGGCTGGGCTGCAACCTGGCTCTATCATCCATGTTGGGAGGTGGGAGGAGGGGACTGGAGCAAGAGGACAACCTCCCTGGATCTCCTCTCCCTATTCCTTCCAGTCTCTTACCGGCCTTCAGTCCCAGGGCTCCCCTGGGGCCTGTGGAGGGGATGAGCTAAGCTGCACTGGCCCTGTCCAGTGGAAAAACACCACATCTTGCTGCTCGGCTCTGTCAGGCTGACTGAGGAGAGGTGGCTGCCAGCCTGATACACTGAGTTGTAATGAGGTCAGACAGCCATGCTGAAAGCACATGGCTTTGCCAAGCAGCCTTTATTTCTGCCTGGGTTCCCTGGAGGGCCACCTGCCCCCAGCTGTGCTTTCATAGAACCTCATCCTTGTGTCTAGGACCTGCAGACCCAGTGTGCAAGAATCCTGCTCAGGAGACACAGGTGAGTGATGTGGGGGCTCTGTGGCATCCTGGTGATCATTGCTGTTCCCAAAGAGAAAGGAGGATCTTGTACGCCCCCTCCCCAACACTGCTCCTCCCTGTAGCCCCAGCTGGCTTAGAATTCACTATGTGGACCAAGCTTGCCTCAATTTCAGAGATCTGTCTGCCTCTGCCTCTTGAATGATGGGATTAAAGGTGTGTGCCACCACACCCAGCTTAGCCTTGTTCTCTTCAAACTGGGAAGTTCCTGAAATCCTGGAACTTCAGAGTGAAAAGGGAACACTGAAGCCTCAAAGTCACCTGGACACATACGCAGCCTAGACAAGAACATGGAGAGACCCATCAGTCAGTGTAAACACTGAGCACACAGGTCACTGGAGTCAGGGAACTAGTTCAGAGAGACTGGCATCCACCTGCCTCTCTGAATGCAGAGTAGTTGTCTGTGCTCCTGATTCTTCTAAATTAGGGCAAGGGAGGCTCTGTTGAGAATCCCTTTGTAAACAGAGAGCCCGGAGGGTGTCCAGGCATCCATCAGCTGTTTCAAACTCCAGCTGACAGCCTCAACTCCTCCTGCCCTCTCTGGCCCCCACTGCCTTCTAGCATGCAGCAGCACACTGTGACATAGGATGGCACCAGCCAGTGTCTTCTCAGCCACAGTGCCAGGTCTAACCCTGAGCTAGAATCTCTCCATTTGCATGTCTCAGTTTCTCCACCCATACTGTGATGGGCTGAGTTCAATAGTCCTGGGCTCTGTTTACATTTCCTTAAGGAGTGTAATTTGAGGAAGTTACCAATTCACAGCAGATATCCTTACCCAGAAGGGCTCCTCTCTCAGGACATATCCCACCTACTGGGTAAGGATTATCTACAGTGGCCTCCAACCTGCAGGGTCCAAGCAAGGCAGAGGCAGGTGCACAAACTCTATTCCTCCTCTTGGGCCAGCACAGCTTCCTGCCCTGGCCTTCTATCGGTGGTGGTCTGAGCCAAGTTTATGTGTCCCCAACAGTTCTCCTCCTCTTCCCTAACTGTCTACCCACGGCAGGGGCACAGAATGGAGAGCTTTTGGTGGAAGGCTAAGGAGTGCATCGGTGCCATCATTTACAGCCCTGAGCAGGAAGAGTCGTCACTGGCCATCTGGGAAGGTCTCAGGGACTTTATCATCCCTCCATCATCTCTTCCTAAGTCCTCTTGGGCCTCCACAAAAAGCTGGGCCAAACATTCATGTTTCCCTCCTTCTGAGTAGGAAGGTGAACAAGGAGTACCCTAGCCATTTGGCCTGAGGGATGCAGGGGTGAGAGATGCAGGGTGAGGGATGCAGGGCTATGGGATACAGGGTGAGGGATGCAAGGTGAGGGATGCAGGGGTGAGAGATACAGGGCTGTGGGATGCAGGGGTGTGGGATGCAGGGGTGAGGGATGCAGGGCTGTGGGATGCAGGATCCCAAAGGAAGGGGAGGTCAATCACCTTCCATTGCAAGATCCTTCCAGACTTTCTGGAGGAGGCATGACAGGAGCCAGACAGCCTCCCCCTGAGCCCACTCCTCAAAACCAGAGATACGCCATACACAGCATACGGCAGATGACACAACACAATCCACATACACAGCATAACTCACTCATACAACACAACCCCCACAAAGCATAAACCACAAACACAGCACCATCCACCCACACAACACAATAGTATAAAATATAACCCAAACATAGCATAATCCACTATGCAATTCAATCTTTAAACAACACAGCTCAGCCCACATACAATATAACCCACTGACACAGCAAAACCTACACAACGTTCTATAAATGTAACCAACTCAAACAACATAACCCATTCAAACACCACCCAATACAACCCCCACCATAACACCCCCCATACAACCCAACTGTCACACAGCATTACCCATATACAACATAAACCACATGCAACACAACCCACAACAAAATCATCAAAACACAATATACACAATGCAACCCTAATACAATAAAATTCATATATAACACAACCCTCTCATGTAACACAATCCCACACGTAACATAACCTCCAAACAGAACACAAGTATCCCATACAACAAAATTCACACACGTATAATTCAGTCCCCCACATACAACACAACCTTCTCATATAACACAACTCCCATACAAATAACATAATCCCCACACAATACAACCCCCCAGTGTATTATAACTCATATGTAATACAACTCACATATATACAACACAACCCCAACTCAGTAATTCAAACATAAACATAACAGCCCACATACAACACCCCCCCCACACACACATAAGCCTATACAACACAAGCCTCCAACAAAACTGCTCCCAACAGAACACAATCCCCCAAAGGGCACAGGCCTTACACATCACATAACCCCCAGCAGTAACCCCCTTCCCAGGCATGCCCTGTCAGCTCTAGCACCGAGTTCAGCCAAGTCCTAATACAGACACAACAGTCCTGGCCTCAGCTTTTTGTCTAGGTGAGCCAACTTCTGTTCTCTAGATCCCAACAGACAGGAGCTCTGGACCAAGGCCACATTTCTTTGTGCCCTTCTCTCCTCCAGAAGAGCCCTAGTAAAGCTTTCTACCCAGCAGGGCATAGATTAGGCCTAGGTCAATGCTTGTAAAATAATGGGAGACCAGATAGGGGAGGGGCGCCACCGCCACCACTTGGCAAGGTTTTCTTTCTACCCAGAGCCCTGTTAGGCTCCAACCTGGTGGGTCTCATGCCTTCTAAGCTCTAGCTCACTTCTTGTGGGCTACAAGCAACTAAGTCAGATGATGTTTTATACAAGATCTGCCCTTCCTGGAATAATTTCAGTGCTCTATTCTGACTGTTGAGAAGCCATCTGTGACTTCCTCCAAAAGGCCAAAGCTGGGGTTCCAAAGAGGCTCAGAAGAGGCTTTCAGCAGATATAAGCCATGAGACATCATTTACAAGGGTCAAGCAGCTGGTGGTCCCAAGGGTCCAGACCCTTCTGGTAGCCTGGCCCTGCCCCATCCCTGGTCACCCCAGGCAACCTCTGCTTTTCTCCCTGCCCTCAGGCCTTTGTACATCTTGTTCTCCTTACTGGAATACCATTCCACCTCCCCTCCCTGATTTTCTGGACAACTCATTCACTGTTCATGCACTCATTCAACAAGAATCCTCAGAGCCTCTCCTGTGAACCAGGCATGAGGTAGGAATCTAGCAACCAGGCTGTGGACCAGGCAGCTCAGGGAGGCCCCTGTTCTCAAGGGGCTTGTGTTCTGTGGGAGGAGGCAAACATCAGAAGCTGGAACCAAGGAACAAGAGTGCCAGTCAGTAGTGGAGTAGCCAGGCAGGGTCTGAGTTATCTTCCCTGGAGAGGCCAGGGAAGGCCTCTCATTAGCAAGGTGGTGAGAGAGGCCAGTAGTCAAAGTGCCAAGTCACACAGGGAAAGAGTTGGAGGGTATGTGGTGGGGGATCGAGAGGGCATTGGCACTTTGTTAGGCCCAACTTCCAAAGCAGGCAGTGGACCTGACCCTGCAGACAGGACGGACTACACAAAGCAAACACAAGGGCACAGTGGGCCTGAGCTGTGGAAATGAACACTGTATGGTTAATGTCCTTTGCGTTGAATCAATTTTATCATTAACTTGTAAAATGAGTTAAAAAAAAAAAACTGTAAAATGCCAAGCATGAAAGGCTACCTTGACTTAGACCATGTCAGAGCCCAAATCATCAGTGTTGGGAAAATACTTGGACTGCTGCAGTTGGCCAGGCATCCTCCTGCAACGTGTCTTTCCCAGGCATAGATATGAACAAAGGGGAATGGGTTTTGTCTGGACAACACCTAGGCTTTCTTTTTAAAAATGTTTTTAGCTCTCTTTATCTTGGGGAAGAAGGAAGTGGAGATTAGAGGACAATTTGTGGCAGTCAGTTCTCTCCTTCTACCATGTGGGTCCTAGGGACTGAACCCAGGTCATGATGCTTGGAGGCAAAGACCTTAACCAGCTGAGCCATCTCGTTGGCCTTAGGCTCTGCTTTTAGTATCTGAAATGCTTATTTCAAAGAGCAAATGCTTTTCCATGTAGGCCAGAAACCAGCAAAATGAAGCTGTAATTTTAGAATCTGTTCATGTTGGGATAGTTGCTGCCCAGAAACAGGATCTCTCTGAAATACTGGGACTATTTGATCTGGGTGATGTATTCATGAGTGTATCATTTTGCTATATTCCAGTGAAGAACAAAAGCAGAACATGTGCCAGAAGTGCTGGCACTCTGAGGAAAACACAGCACAAACTAGTCACTGGGTTTGTCAGGGGTAAATGCTGCACCAGCCCCTCAAGCATTCTTTGGTCTTGGTGCCAACTATGGTATGGGAAACACAGTTTCCATGGATACTTTGGGTGGGAGGAAAGAGAGAAAACACTGCATTCTTCCTCATCCCTTTGTGCCTACACAGAGGTGTTCCAGGAAAGTGCTGGCTAGATGAAGATGAACAGGGGTTGTCCAGATGCAAACACTATGTGTGTAAAATGGAAAGTACATGGCCTCAGGGGGAGGAAGCCAGGCACTATGGGACCAGCTGGAATGTGTAGTTCTGGCTGTTGAGAGAAAGAAGCTAAGCTGGGAAGGAGGGTGCTCTGGACTTAGTCAGAGGGTCAGGAGGTGGGTGTGATGTGGCTGTAGGAGGGGACTGGGTAAGGGGGCACACTCGCAATGCCATCTTCAGACACTTACCAGGTGGAGTGGAATGCAACTCATCAACCCTGCCTGCTCCTAGAGACAAATACACCGTGTTCAGATCAGCAGGAGCCCTCCTAGCCAGCTAGCTTCACCCTTCCCCTTCTTGACCTTCAGGAGCTCAGAACTATCAGAGAACACCCATGTTTTGTTGCTTGTTTATTCTGGACACTAGTGAAGCCTTAGGAAAGAAAGAGAGCACCCAAATCACACTAACTTACCGAGGGCAGTTGGCTCTCCCATCTCCTTCAAACAGGAGTTTCTGCAGCACACAGCCTTGGACAGCAGCCAGAACCCCACAAGGACCACCCTGCAGATAAACACATTACCACCAGTACAAATGGACCCAGGAAAGCTGTCCCTTCCATCCACAAGCTTCTAGACTCAAGTCACAGGGGTCTCCAACAAGGTGATTTGTCTTTGTGTTGACAAGAGGTCAGTCTTGGAGTCATCCTCATGGGAGGAAAGTAACTATTTACAAAGTCAGGTGTGAAGCCAGGGACATCACCACAGGTTTCCTGTCACCTGGGAAATGACTGGTGCTGTGTAGCACCAACAGCCCCCAGCCAGGTTCAAGGATCATCAGAGCAGCAGGCCAGGGTGGCCTCGAAGTTGTGGTGCAAGAGGAAGAGCTGGGTTTTGCCACTCTACCAAGGGAGGCAGAAACTGGCATCTGTGGGCCTTCCTCAGACATCAGGGGCAGGGAAGATCCCAGGGATGAGAAATGGGCCTAGCAGAGCTGCCCTGCTCTATATGTAGTCTTTGGCCTCAGAGTGAGACATCTTTAGGCCTTCCTTGAGACTATCCTGTGGAGTATGTCCAGGGCATGAGCAAAGCCTGCCATCTCATACCTCTGATTCTACTGCTTCCGTGACACCCTCCTCCTCCATTTGCTCTGCACATTTGATGTCTTGGCCTTTCCCATACACTCAACTTTGTCACTGTACTCTTCACTTTGCCACCATCTTTCCAGAGTGCCCTTCTCCAGCTCTACCCATGAAACCCCAGGCCCTTCCCAAGGTTTGGCCTACAAAGGCCCTCAGTGCCTCTAAGCATGGGCAGAGTTACTTTCTGCTCTCTCATGTTGCCATCTCAGTGTCACAGCAAGTGGGTTTGATTAAGGTGTTTCCAGCAAAGTCTTGATGACTTCTCTCACCCCAGCAGCCCCACCTTAAATGCCTGCAGGAGTAAACTGGGGCTGGCCAGATGATTCCACTGTTGTTCTAAGAACTCATCATGTGAATGACACCCCCACTTTGTGCATGACAGCCCAGGAGAAAGGTCCCTGGAACCCCAGGAGCAACCTGCCTTGTTCTGCACAATGCCGTATTTTAGTGAAGGAGTATCATTAAAGGAAAAGCTCTGAAGTTTCCATTCTTCATTGAAGGAGCAGAAGGTAGAACCAAACAGAAGGATCTTTATTTCCTATGGGGAAAGGGAAGGGTGTTATTGGTTGTTTATAAAACAAATAACATCACAAGGCTTGCAACGCAGGCCCTGGGGAGCTTGTCCTGAGCACTAGCAGGGCAGTGCACTTTCTGGCAGTGGTCTCTTTATTTTGCAAGCCCATTCTTCTCATATTTGAGGAAGATAAACCTGACCCTGAGGGTCTTACCTTTGGGAACCACATCAGCCCAAGCTAACATGGGCCAAGATCTTTCTGGTTTCCTGAGAGAGGCCTTGAAATAAAAAAAACTTTGGCTCCGCTGGGTGTGGTGGCACATGCCTTTAATCCCAGCACTTGGGAGGCAGAGGCAGGTGGATCTCTGTGAGTTCAAGGCCAGCCTGGTCTACATAGTGAATTCCAGGACAGCTGGGGCTACAGGGAGACCCTGTCTCAAAAAGACCAAAAAAAAAAAAAAAAAAAAAAATTTGCGCCCTCCAAAACATTTACAAATCAC